AATTAAGCGAGGGTCGTTTCCCTAAAGTTAACAGATTTCCCAATCAACAGACCAATTAGCAATCACCACCGATAGTTCATTCAAGTTCTGGCTAAGGTCCATTTGTTCATTTCGCACCAAATATACCACATGTAATCAAGTGCTGTAACTCCACTCTATCCCTTTTGTCACACAATTGGGCTAAGCCTACAAATCCATTTCACGTATCCATAGTTTCGCTTGCAAGTATGAAGATCGGGACGCCACATATACGTGACACTGGTTTGAAATTTACTGGAACAAAACTTCTAAAGGGTTGTGAATTCACTGGCTTTTTTTTGGGTCTTTCATTGTCATAGATCATTTCAGCACTAATAGCAACCCTGACAATGGCATCGGTGCTGGTTCACCAATCGTCAAGGTGGAGGATTCCTCATCTGTTAACGACTCAACACCACCTCCACCACCTTCGCAGCCCTCATCAACAACATCTGTCGTCCCAACTTCGACACAGTCGAAACGAGAGTCTCAGAGTCTCACAGAGGAATGTTCTCTTAGTCAACGACATTTCTATCGCACACAATGTATCCGTCCTCGCTTCACATATGCCTCGCTCATTCGGCAGGCCATCTGTGAGTCACCGAATAAATGCCTTTCGTTAAGCGAAATCTACGCTTGGTTACAGAAGGAATTCCTCTACTTCCGTCAGAACGAAGCAACGTGGAAGGTGAGTGATGTTGAACCCATCTGCTGACTACTATTAAGGAATTAAGTAGACCTGCTATTGGCATCAACAGAGACTGGGGGCCGAACCAGCGTCAACCCATTTGGTTTTATTTGCAGTAGGGTTGGCGAGGCGCACGATTACTACCTATTGACACTTCAAAAACTCCTGAGACGATTGAAGAAGGAAGGAATTTTGGGGGTTGTGGATGTCTTCAAGTATCATTTGTTAACTCCTCAACATTACACCTACATAAAGCATCTGTAAGAGATTGTATGTGTTGGACTATCCTGAAGTGGTTGAGCCATGGACACCCCTCCCGATTTACTATTAAAGAAGAGGAAGCAGCCGACAAGGAGCGTGTTACAGAGCTACAGAAAACCACGTTTAACAGCACCATGAGGTTGCTGCTTCACCTAACACTGCCTGGACTGGACAGGCGCTCCTAACCCATTTGGTCCAACTACTACGACGAGTAAAGGGCTGAATATTCCCTCTGCATTACTAATGTCTGATTATTAGTGCTATTTATTCGTGGGTTTCCCGTTTAACTTACAACTTTTCTTTGCTTGCAATGCAGAATGCCATTCGACATAATCTCTCGTTGCACAAGTGCTTTCGGCGTGTTGAAACTGCGGGTGGATCAGTGTGGGTCTTTGACGAGCATGAATGTCTTCAGCGCAAGGATGGCAAGCCACCCTTGTAAGCAAAGCCTATTCATCTGGAATCTCTTCATCTATTTACTCATC